AATCAAGATGAATTTTGTGCTTTGGAAAGTGTGAAAGCTGCCTTTGAAGTCTCCCCTCCTCTTACTAGGAGAAACAACCAAAGGTGAGAAAGCACTTGCAGAAAATCCAGGGCTTGTCAAGAAGTCTTGTTAGGGAGGTGGGGGGGTGGGGGGGTGTTAGCTCAGTGGCTTAAGTGCCTGCTTGGCAAACGCAAGGTCATGAGTTCAATCCCCGGTACAAAAAAAAAAAAAAAAAAGAAGAAGTCTTGTTACGGAGATGGGTGGCTGATGAAGACATCACGTGGCCGCTGAACTAGGTGGTTTCAAGAGCAAGGAAGTGATGAGAAACACTTGCAGTTGACTGAGGAGTGAAGCTGCACCCTAAATAAACTAGTGTGAAATCACTTACTTCAACATGGTTGTCTTCTATTAGTGAAAGGTAAAAATTTTAAAATATAAATTTAGCCAGGCATGGTGGATTACAGCCATTCCTGTAATGCCAGCACTCGGGAGTCTGAGGCAGGAGGATCACTGAGAGTTCAAGGCCAACCTGGGCTACATAGTAATTTCAAAGCCAGCCTGAACTACACAGAGAGATCCTGTCTCAAAAAAAAAAAAAAAAAAAAAAGAAAAAAAAAAAGGGTTAGCAAAAATGTAATGATGGAAAACCTGCCCCTGAAAGAAAATACAGTACTCATAACTTCCTAATGATTGCAGATAAACATAATGTGCATCATTTTTATATGCAATTGCAAAAAACATCAAAACAGCATGCAGGATTTGGAATCACATTTATTTTACAAAGACGGGCACAGACAGGAAACCAATTGTCTCTAAAAATGTTAGACCTCAAAGGGCCAGGGGAGGGAGTTTTTTTACAGGGTTTCAAAGGGGAGGTGCAGTGCTAAGAATATAGATTAGCAGCACATTGCCTGCCTGGAAAGCAAAGGTCCTGAGTTTGATTCCCCATACAAAAAGTGGGAGAGGGGGAGGCACAGAGACAGAATTCTACATTGTCTTTGATTGGTTTTTACAGTATGTGTCAGAGTGACCAGTCAGTTTCTAGGAGACAGTGGTAAAAGAAACTATTACCTACTAACAGACTGGCTGGGGATATTTTCTGCTACAATGCATCTTACGATTTTTAGACTAGGCTGTAGATTCTGACTTTTAGGATTCATAAAATTACCCATGGTAAAACCTTGGTACAGCAGGGCATGGTGGTGCACACCAGTAACCCCAGCATTTGAAAGGCTAAAGCAGGAGGATCAATGTAAATTTGAGGCCTAGTTGGGCTATATAGTGAGTTTAAGGTCACCCTGCATCACAACAACAAAAAAACCTTGTTACAAAAAATATGCAATTCAAGGATAACATTGTTATCATATAATATTGCAACTTGCATACATTCCTTCCTCGATTTTGAGCCAAATGCTTAAATTATCTTCTTGGAAATAACCAGGAGTGAAAGAAAGTGTCAGTTGCAGTTGTCCAATGTCAGATGAAGAACAACGTATTTTTTTGAGATAGGTTTTGCTATGCCTTTCAGGCTGGCCTTGAACTCATTGTGTAGCCCAAATTGCCCTTGAACTCTTGATATCCAGCTGCCTCAGCCTCCCTGCTGAGATTACAGATGTGCACCACTATTCCCTGTTTAAGAACAATACTTTCCTAATTTTACAATACATTGCATTAAAAAAAAAAAACCATCCCTGCAACACACTGCATTTGCTGATGTTGTTTTTATTCAGTGAAGCAACAGCTTTGCAGAACAATAAGAAAAAATAAAATATTCTGTTTCTTTGGAAATAAAAAAAGGCTTGATGAATTCTCAAAACTGGACCAGTACTCAAGAAGCCATGCATTTGTAACCTGCACACTTAAGCCTCTCTTCTCTCTGTCTTTCCCTTTTGTTTTCTGCTCCTTCCTAATCCTTTTTGTTGAAGAGAAGCCTTTCCTTAATGTTCATTGCTATATTCCAGGCTGATACAACTCTAGATAATGAAGCTCCCTCCCAGTGCATGGATTTCTTACCCAATCTCTGTAATCTCTTTTTCTCTGATAAAAGCTCTTCGTTGATAGAGCCCAGACAGGGATATTACCAGTTCAAATGAGCCCACTACCATCTTAGAGAAATGTAGGTCTCATTTTACTTAGGTCATGACCAGTCCCCCAAGGATGTGTCAATAGGTCACAGAGGACACATCAAGTTACGAGCCTGCCTTTTCTCCAGCCCACGACCTCAGAAGCCTGCCAAAAGAGACAGCATCTCTGTTCTGCTCTCATAAAGAAGTCCCTCTCAGATTTAGCAATAAACTTGCTTGTTGAGTTGTGTCCTGTCTTTCCCACTCCTTCATGGCCCAGAGTGGTGGCGTATGCCTGTATCCCCGGAAGTCTAGGAGGCTGAGGCAGCGACATGCTCAAGCTTGACCTAGGGAATTTAGTGGCTTAGTGTAAGGCTTTGTTTTAAAATATTTAAAAACGTAAAAAGGTAGGAGATGGAGGTGGAAATGTAGTTCAGTACAAAGGCCGTGGCTTCAATCCTTATTGTGGAAAAAAACCTGAGAGATCTGAAGCAGAAGTCTCCTGTCTTCAGGGCCAGTCTTTAAATAAAACCTTTTCATTCCACAACTTTGGTCTCTCAAGTTTCTGGTTGACAGAGGTTCAGCACAGACATTTTTGCTCTGGTACCATAACCAGCCTTCACATTAGTGTTACAGTTAAGTGGGCCAAAAACAGTCCAAGTTCTTGTCTATGACAAGGAAAGAATTGCCAAGTGTACCAGGTGGTAGCTATCCAGGGACAGTACCATCGGGAACAGGCCGAAGGCTGAAGTGGAATGAAAGGGGGCTCATTAATAACTGAGTAATAAAGGGTCACACGCTATGACCCCAGGTGCCCACCCGTGTCTTACTGTGTCAGTAATCTGCAGGTTTGGGTATCAGACTTCTCATCTAAGCCTGAGTAGTCATTAGGGCGGTGTTGTGTTTATGGTTGGAGAGAAGGGAGGTGGTTTGCAATGTTGTCCCTGTTTTAGGATTATGGAAGCATGGATAATCTTCAGGGTGGTGTGATGGAGAGAAGGCTCATTGGCTCCCTCGTTTCTGACAGTATTATCAGGACACAACACTTGAAAGCTAGTTTGTTTTAGTCACCGCCCTCCAAATCCAAACACTATCATGATTTATTAAAAAAGTTTTCTTTTACATAAAATGAAATCTTAAAAATATACTCATATCTTTATAATTTGATTGCTTTTACACAACACTGTTTCAGAACTTGAGTGATTTTCCTATTGTGCTGCTTACTTAAATACTAACACTACTGCTGAAAAAATACTAAAATATCCATAATTTTGCATCAGCATTTAGATGTGATTAAGTCCTATGAAAACAGTTTTTAGCCGGGTGTGGTGGCTCAAGCCTGTAATCCCAGTACTCAGGAGGCTGAGGCGGGAGGATTATTTTGAGTTCCAGACCAGCCTGGGCTACAAAGTGAGCTCAAGGTCAGCCTGAACTGCATAATGAGACCCCGTCTCAAAAAAGACCCCCAAAAAACCCAGTTTTAAAAAATCCATGATTTGCTGGAGATTTAGCTCAGTGGCATAAGTGCTTGCCTGGCAAGCATGAGGTTGTGAGTTTGATCCCTGGTACCAAAAACAAAACAAAATAAAACGAAAATAAAAAATAAAAATTCATGATTTGCCATGTTGTTGATTTAGGAAATCACTCTCTAAAATAGTTAATGATTTCTTACTTACTAGTATTTACACTTCCTATGTGCTAGGACCACTCTAAGTTCTCTGTGAATATTAAACTTTAATCTTTTTAACAATCTTCTATGGTAGGTTCTGTAATTATTATCTTCAATTACACACAAGGAAATGTAAAGATAAAGAAACTGAAGCACGGACAATTTACATAAATTTCTCCAAATCAGACAGCTAGTAAATGGTAATCTTGGAGAGGGGAGAGGGAGGATTTGAAAGCAGTGTCATCTGAAAGGGGCTTGAAGGGGCAACTGGTCTCCAATAGCACAGCAAAAAATATGTAAGTAAATACTTTTTTTTTAATTAAAAATTTTTAAATAAAAATGTTCAGAAACAATAAAAAGTGTTATGGTTCTGTTTTGTAATACGTGACCTAGAATTACAACCTGTTCTTAACTGATATCTAAAACCTTTAACTATTTTTGGCTATGAAAAAAGAATTTTGAGACAGTGCCTAGGAGGAATTTAGGTGGTGGACCACTTTAAAACATATTCTACACTCCCTTGATTTCGCCCTCCTCCCTTCCTTTAGATCGCGTTTCTTCAATTTGAAATCTCGCGAGAAGTCGAGTTCCCATGAACTCTCGCAGGAACCACAATTCTTCCTCTTCCTGTAAGCGGCCCAAGGTGAGTGTTGTAGTGGTTTGTTGGTCCGTGTGTTTAATCCTCCCTTCATCTTCGCCATCCTGGCCTTACCGGCTGTGGTGTCAAGTCCTCCGAGAGGGAAACTCTTAGAGCTTCGATTCATCCCTGAAAGAGGTGTTCCCTTGTGCGGAGGGAGGTGTCGGAGCGCCAGATTTACGACAGAGGGCTCAGCCGGCTTCTGCAGCTTATGGAGGAATGGAACGAACGGGAATGGGGGAGACTGGGCTCTTCCGTTGGTGTGGGCATGGGTTGCCTGGGTCCGTCTCGCTTCCGAAGGTCCAGTGTCCCACGGTGAGCAGTGAACAGGTGGTGTTGAGGCTTTACTCATTTCGTTAGTGCTGCACGCTGGATGGCTCTGGGCGTGGGTGAAGGCCGGGACTGGAAAGCCTGCGTTACTGTGATGGCTGCGTGAGTGAGGGAGGCTTCTATACAGAGAGGGAAACTGATCTTGGCTTTTACCATGCTCACGCGTCACGTTACACTTGAAAGAGCTGGGGCTGGCTTGAAGGGCTCCAAAGGGAAGGGAGAGCGTGATGAGGGTGACTGGTGATCAGTGCTGTCTTCACTGGAAGATCCAGAGCCGGGGAAAGCACTAGGGCAAGGATGGCTGCGGTGATGGCGTTTCTTAGGACACCTTTGGATTAATAATGAAAATAATTACTGTCTGAGCAGCCCTTACCATCAGTAGTTTAATTGCATTAGTTCCTGAAGTATGTGTTATTGACGGGCTAGTGCTGTCTTGCAGGTAACCTGTGAAAATGGTTCGCTACTCTCTTGACCCAGAAAACCCCACAAAATGTGAGTAGAACTTAAACTCGGTTTTTCTATTTTGGGGTGAACATAGAACCCAAAATTAACAAAGACTTTTTTGTTTTTTAGCATGCAAATCCAGAGGCTCAAATCTTCGGGTTCACTTTAAGGTATGGGAATTCGGACTAAGATCTAAAGAAGTTTTACATGTACTACTAGTAGCTTTTGGTTTAAAAATGGTAGCTGCGGTGATGCCTTTCTTAGGACACCTTTGGATTTACCATGAAAATAAATAAAATTCTGAGCAGCTACCTTTTATGTATTTTAAGTACTTTAAGTACACAGTACTTAGAATTTGAGGAAATAAAACTACTTGATAATGCAGGTCAAGGTGGGGTACAATTGGAATAAAAGATGATGGAATTTAAACAGTTTAGGGTTGTGTTTAATTTTCGTTAGCTTCACAGTCTTCCTGGTTCAGTGTTTGCTACAAAAGATAATTCTTTGACATGATTAACCAAGACTTTTATTACTCATTTAGAACACCCGTGAAACTGCCCAGGCCATCAAGGGTATGCATATCCGCAAGGCCACCAAGTATCTGAAGGATGTCACGTTAAAGAAGCAATGTGTGCCATTCCGGCGTTACAATGGTGGAGTTGGAAGATGTGCCCAGGTGAGGACTGTTGAGATAGTTGAAAAGGCAGAAAGGTGAATGGGTGGAACATTGGGTAAGGTCTGCCTTTATCAGGTGCTTTGTGGTTGCTATGATGACGAACTTAGGACACCTTTGGATTAACCATGAAATAAACCATATTCTGAGCAACCATGATGTTGGGCAAAAATAAATTGATCTTGAGTATAATGTTGATGTAAACTAAGGAAAATGTCTAATGGCCCCCCTTTATTTCAGGCCAAACAATGGGGCTGGACCCAGGGTCGGTGGCCCAAAAAGAGTGCTGAATTTTTGCTGCACATGCTTAAAAATGCAGAGAGTAATGCTGAACTTAAGGTACCCAAATCCTTAACATCCCTTTGTATTTGCAATTTAGATGAGTGTTTCACCTTTATTTTCTTGATTGTCTTGGTTCTCAGCAAGTAAATCTCATGCCAAAATTTAATCTAAAATTTTTTTATGAATAAGTCTGACTTTTTTACTGTAGGTGCTTGTGAAGTGTTTTCCCTAGGCTGAGGGTGGGTGGTAGAACATTTGGCCCTACAAACTTCAGGGACAAAAATATGTTTTACCAAATGCCTGTAACTTTTTTCCATGCTGTGGATCTTTTTGGTAATACAGTTGTCAAAGTGACTGCCTTTTAGTGGTTAATGTGGTTTGTTGCCTACATTTGTAAGGAAGAAAAATAGTAAATTTCAGATTAAAAAGTAAACAGGATAGTTGACAAAAGGTTCTCCATTGTTATCTTTCACCCTTTTGCATATAAGTCTAGTACTGAGCTAGAATTATGTTAGAAAGGCTTAGAAATTGGCTTTGCTTTATCCTACACCTCAAGCCCTTTAATGACCTGTAGGGTCATTCATTTAAAAACCTACAAAACCTTGCATGGTGGCACACAGCTGGAATTATTGAGGTAGGATTATGAATTCAAAGCCAGCTTGCAACAGAGACCCTGTCTCAGAAACAACCTATGTTTAAACCCTAGTGCAGTGGTATGCACCTGTAATCTTTAGTACTTGAGAGGCTAAACCAGGCAGATTGCAAATTTAGGCCAGCTTGGGCAATTAGGCAAGACTAGCTCAAAATTAAAAGGGCCAGGGATGCAGCTTAGTGCTAGAACATTTGCCAAGCATGTATAAGGTCCTGAGTTCAATCCTCAGTGCTGTAATGGGGATAGGCGGGGAACACTTGGTTAGTCTGTTTTTGAGACAGGATCTGTTTTAAGACAGTCTGTCCTTAAACCAACTGTTACGGAATAGAACTGAAGGAAGTCCTCAACCACCTTACAAGTCCTGAGATTACAGGTGTGTTCCACTACACTGTTTATGGTTTTTTTGTTTGTTTTTGTTTGGTTTTGGGGAAGTTTTTTTGTTTTGTTTTTTGGTGCTGGGAATCAAACTCATGACATCATACTTGCCAGACAGGCATTTGTGCCACTGAGCTAAATCCCCAGCCCTACCATGCCCAGTTAAAAAAAAAAAAAAACACATTTATTTAGTGCATTGAATTCAATGATGATTTAGGTGCTAATTTCATTAAGGCAAGGGTTTGAGGCATGATGGGGAATTTGTCAGTGATATGGTTTGGTGTTAGAAGTTACTACCTGAGTTTTATCTTTTTTCCTAGGGTTTAGATGTAGATTCTCTGGTCATTGAACATATCCAGGTGAACAAAGCACCCAAGATGCGCCGCCGTACTTACAGAGCTCATGGCCGTATTAACCCATACATGAGCTCTCCCTGCCACATTGAGATGATCCTTACTGAAAAGGAACAGATTGTGCCTAAACCAGAGGAGGAAGTTGCACAGAAGAAAAAAGTAAGCAACTTGGCACCTCGGTTTTGTTGGTACATAATACTAGAAATATTTGGTTGCTGTGATGACTATCTTAGGACACCTTTGGAATCACCATGAAAGGAAAACTATTCTGAGCAACCCTTTACCCTTTTTTTTTTTTTTAAGTTTGGTGACCCTGATTGGTTTCTTTACTAGTAATATATAATAACTGCATTTGATAATAATTAGCTGTGTCATTTTGTCAAAGTGCTCATTATTAGCAAATGATCGTGTTCAGTTCTTGAAGCCAAGGAATTGCCTGGGAATGATTCTATAGTTTTCCCTTCACAATCGCCTTCCATTAACGTTCTCACTTAAATGTTATCTGCTCCTTGCTCTTCTTGGGCTTTTGGTCCCCAGCAAGAGTTGAAACCCAGGATTTATTGTAGGTTTGTCCTTAATGGTCCTTTTTTTTTCTTTCAGATATCTCAGAAGAAACTGAAGAAACAAAAACTTATGGCACGGGAATAAATTATGCATTAAATAAATTCAAATAAAAGTAATATTGTTTGCCATTATTAGTAAACATGTTATCTGTCCTTACAAGATGGATCAAGTGGGTTTAATTAATTGACTCAAACATGCTAGTTGTAGGGTTTTTACATTTTGAAATGAGATAGTTCCTAGCCAGTGGAGCAAACCTTTTAGAGCTTTCAATGATAACAAATTCACAGCAGCATCTATGCCATAGTAGGTTCAATGTTTCTCATAGGTGCCACTTTCTAAACTGGACTCTAGCCCATTTGCTTCAGCCTCCCAAAAGTGCAATTAGGTAATGGAATTCTTGAAACTGATTCTGATCTAATATCCTTAGCAAGATTTAGAACACAGTTCACTCACTAAAAATGCAGCAGGATTGGGTATGATGGCATGTGTCTGTACTACTACCACTGAGAAGGCTGATGCAGGAGGACCAAGTCTTGGGTTTGAGGCCAGCTTGGACTACATAGTAAAACCCTGTATCAAAGACAACCAGAAACATTTCAAAGCTTAATATATTTATACATCCTGCCACCATAATCCATTGCAGAATGTTTTCCCTGACCATAAAGGAAGTTGTGGAGTAGTGAAAAGTGTTGAACATCACTGCCACCTATAGTGAGGATTGAATCTAGGGCTTTTGCACTGAGTTGGGTCTCTTAAGTTGCGTATGCGGGTATACATTCCTATGGAAGCCTGGAGTGCAGGAGTTACATAGGTGTAACTATTCCATGTTTACTCCGTGGCTGTTTGTGGTGTCAGATGGTGCTGCTGTGAACCTTTTTGCATGCAGGTTTTTGTGTAAGTATGCTTATCAAAAGTGAAATTGGCATCTTCAATCTCAGCACTTTTGGAGACCATAAGTGAGACCCCAGACTAAAGTGAGTCCCTGCTGGGGATGTAGCTGGCTGCAGAGACCCTGAGGTCAATCCATGTGGAAGAATGAGTGCCATGATTAGCAACGGTTGGGGTGATGGCAGATATTTTTGAAGAGGCTGCATATGGTTGCCGTGTTTGAGAGCTACAAATCAAGATAATTCAGTGTGATCTGGTGGTTTTGGTACTGGGGATTGAACCCAAGCCCTTCCCACCAGAGCTAACCTGCTTTTGAGATAACTTGGATACTGGAGACAACGTAGCATCCCACGTGCTAAGGATGCATAGTACCCCTGTTTATTTTTTTATTTTTTTTTGTTTTTTTGGTCGTTTTGAGACAGGGTCTCGCTATGCAGTTTGTAGCCCAGGCTGGTCTGGAACTCGCAACGATCCTCCTGCCTCAGCCTCCCGAGTGCTGGGATTACAGGCATGAGCCACCACGTCCAGCTCTTTACCCCTAAATTTAAAGCTGATCCTAAACTCCTGTACTTCAATAAAATACAGTATTTAAACTGGCTAAAAGAGCCAAACCACAATAGCATCTGCAAATAGCGTACGCGTGTGGGCCGTGATGCCTTCTCTGTGCGGTGCTGAGTCAGTCACCCACATGGGTTATTTTCAGTGTTTTCCTTTTCCGTATTCAGGAATAAGGTCTACCTCAGTTCTTGGCAACAATCGGACTCACCCCTCCCCGTCCCCAGGCACTACTAGCTGCCTCCACTAGCCCCGCCTAGGTGTCAACGTTACGACCCCTACGTCCACACGCTGACATAGCGCGCCTTTGTCCGCCCCTAAGAAGGTACCCATTGGCTGAACAGCGGTAGTGCGCCTTTGTCGGACCCTGTGAAGGTGCCCATTGGTTGAACAGCTGCTCGACCCGCCACCGGAAGTGCGGCGTTTGCCTCCTGGTCGTAGATGACCCGGATTTCTCTGTTGGAAGATTCGTGGGGTATCGCCCGTGGTGTGTTCTGTCCTCGGCGTTTCCGAGTGGCTCTGGAGGCTCCAGCGCGCGTGGTCACAAAATCCCAGGCTGGTGCGCGACTCTCCTGGCCACCCAGCCTTGTGGCGGCCTGCGCTCAAAACACCAAGCCCGACTCTTAACGGTATGCTTCGCTCCCTCTCTTGCCTCTGCCGCCCGGGCGCCCTGTGCTTGCCACTGGCCGTTCTCCGCCCTGCCAACCTCGGTGCTTCTCTGTGTGTGTTTCGCGTTGGCATCATTTCCCCTCCCTGATCCTCGCGGTTGGCCCTGCCCATGCCCTCCTGTTTTTTCTGTCGGTTTTGCCTCACGTTCCTTCGAAGTGGCTTTCTCAGCGTAAAGGCGAGTGAAAGGGGACTCGTCTACAATGTCTGCAGTGATTTTAATCCATCTTGCTCACTTTGTTTGCTTGGAGAATAGTTAAAATGATGCCTTTCTTTGCGCCACCTTCTAGGCTTTTCTAACCCGTTGTCTATGGTGTAAAATAGAACGTCAAAGAAACATTTATGAGGATAAGATGAATACAGAAGCTTCCTTCTGAACAGAGCTAAAGTTTTATTGTTATTGTGGTTTAAGTGATTAGTAGCATTTGTTTTTGAGAATTTATTGACATGTGTGCAAACTTATTTAAGACATCAACTACAAAGATAAAAGTGGATTTTTTTTTTTTTTCTTTGAAACAGGGTTTACTGGGTTCGAATTTGCAGCGATCCTCCTGCATTGACTTCTGAGTGCTGGGATTACAGGTGTGTGCCACCACATCTCGCCTAAAAATGAGTTTTTATAATGAACTGCCAGTCACCAGTTTAACCATGCTGGTAAAATTTCCATCTGTTTTGAAGGAGATAATTGGTTTTGAAGGTTATGTCCCTTGTGGTTTTTAGAGTTTAGAGCTAGGGAATGAGAACTAGGAATTCCAGTGTTAATGTACTCTGTTAACCTCTTTGTGGAATAATGGAAGGGTCACAACTTTTGGATCTTTATATTTCTTTCTTTTTTTTTTTTTTTTTGGTATCGGGGATCGAACTCATGACCTCGAGCTTGCCACTGAGCTAAATCCCCAGCCCTATTTTCCTTTTTAGAATAACAGTATGTGAGGACACTGAGCTTTGTATTCACATCCCCAACCCCTACTGCGTTCCTGAGACCGGATACTGTCTAGGTTTAACTTAAGAGAATTAAAGTTCAGTCTCAATGAATAATTGCTCAGACACCATGTAGAAAGCTGTGAAGCAGGTCTCAAGTCTAGGCAATTCCAGTGGAATCTGCTTAACTGTGAAGTCAGGGTACCCTTAAGAGGGTGCATCAAGTCCTTAACCAGATCACCTCTGAAGTCTCTGTAAATCAGATTTTGACTTTGTGACCAAAATAATCCCTTGAAAGATGCTAAAAATTTACTGCTCAATTGGTTTATTTTACTCAGGATATATGTTCCTTAAGACAGATTGTTTTGGTAGATTGTTTTTTTTTGTTTTTTTTTTTTTTTTTTTGTCTTTTTCATTTTTATCGGTACCGGGGATCGAACTCACGACCGCCTGCTTGCAAGGCAGGTGCTTATGCCGCTGAGCTAAATCCCCAGCCCCGGTAGATTGTTTTTGTTTGTTGTTGTTTTGGACTAAGGATCAAGCTTACAACCTTGCACTTGACAGGCAGGTGCTTGTGCCACTGAGCTAATCCCTGGCTGTTTTGGTAGATTCTTAAATTCTTATTTTAATATTTTGAAAATCGGCCTGTCATGGTGCTGCATGCTTGTAATCCTAGCATTTAGGAGAGCAAGGCAGGACAATCTTGATGAGTTTGAAGTCTGCTTGGGCTGCGTAGTTGAGTTTAAGGCCAGCCTACAGTGCACAGTGAGACACTGTTTGAAAAAAACGAAAAAGGTAAATAAAAACAAAGTTTGACATCTTGAATTAGACTTCTCATACTGTTCTGAAGGTGGTGTTCCGGTTTGGTTTGATTTGGTTTGGTTCTGCTTTTGGTTTTTGGTACCTGAAATCAAATTCAAAACCCATGCTTGTCAGACAGGTGCTATGCCACTGAGCTATATCCCCAGCCCTGAAGCTTATTTTTTAAAGCTTGTTATCTTACTTCTAGAAGCTAGGGCTTGCACATGCTAAGCAAGTGCTTTAGCGGTGAGCTGTGTGTCTCCAGCACTTTTTATTTTGAATCAATTTTGCTAAATTGCTCCTGCTTGCTTCCACTGGAATCTTTCTACCTCATTTTCCCACAGTGCTAGGATTTCAGTATGCCACTCCACACATCTTTGAAGAAAATTTTCTATTACTTAGCACATCTTAAATTATGTTCTTATAAAGAAAGGGAGGCCTGAGGGTGTAGCTCAGTGGCCACTCATCTTGCAGGTGCCCTAGTATAAGCTCCAGCACAGGATAAAAAGGGAGGAGAAAGGAAAAGAGAAAAAACATACTGAAGAAGAGTTCTTGCCTGGGAAAAACCAGTTGATTTTTACCCTAGGAATCTTTGGAAGTGGTATCTTGGTAAGTTTCATATTATAGAATTTGCCAAGTGCTGTAAGATTTGGCTAATTGATATTGTCAGATCCTGAAGCTTAGAAATATGGAGACTTCAGAGGTGATCTGGTTAAGGATTTGATGCACCCACTTAAGTGTTGTCTACATTTAAAAGGAAAATAATTCATAATGTGTTGTGCCTTCTTTTCTTAATCTGTGATTGGAGAGTGCAAGGGTACTCAGCCTCCCTGTTTTTTGTTTGTTACGTTTTGTTTTTTGGTGGATTAAATGAGCTATTGTTTATAAACTGCTTGGCACCTGCCAAATACCATTGTCTTCCTTTTGTTACCAAATTTATGGTCAGGAGCCGTGACTGGAAAGGATTGGACGTACATCTCTCCATTCATGTCTACCATCTGTCATTCCTTTACCTTGCTGATAGAAGAATTTTTAAAATATTTTTAACAAATGATGCTTGAAATTTTTTCTTTATTGTAGAGTTGATACCTTAGGTAAAGTCCTTCCATCACTAGCCTAAGATAAACTAATTTTTCCTTTATATGTATCAGCAGCTTAGGACCTCGAGCCTGTGACAATGGTGTGCATTCCTTGCATAGTCATACCGATTCTGCTCTGGATCTACAAAAAGTTCCTGGAGCCATACATATACCCTTTGATTTCGCCTTTTGTTAGTCGTATATGGCCTAAAAAAGCTCTACAAGAGTCCAGTGATAAAAGTAAAAGTCAAGTTGACTGTAAGGTAAGAATTTCCAGATGCCTTGAAGAGGCGGTATTTGAGTAACACTTGGTTTGTAGAAGGACAAGTTTTTAGAACAAGAAGCTTCAATAATTGGTCTCACAGCACTCAGAAGACTGAGGCAGAAGGATCATTGTGAGTTCGAGACCAGCCTGGGCTACAGAGTGAGCTCAAGGCCAGCCCGAACTGCATAGTGAGACGCTGTCTCAACAAGACAATAATAATAATAATAATAATCTGTTTCAATTCAGTAACATTTGGGTTAACCTAAAGTTTCCAGCAAAGCTTCTGATAATGCTTTCGTCCCTTCCCTTATGGCCCAAACAAATTGAAGTTTTTTTGAGAACAAATTTTTAGATAACAGTTGTCTTTAGCATTGATGATTGTTGGGTTCAACTTTGTGTTCTATTGTGCTTGTTTAGTCAACCTACACATTTCTGAATCCAGAATTGTTTCATTCTTGTTGATCATCTGTTTTTAAAGAGAATGTCTCTTATTATCAGTGTCTTTTTTTTTTGTAATAATTCTTAAAATGTTCTTTCATTTCAGGGTGCAGACATAAGTGGACCAACAAAAGGACCAACAGAAATCTGTGATAAAAAGAAAAACTAATGCCATTTTCCCAAAGGATCTCAATTGTTTTAAAAATGGACCTGATAATATAAAGCACCTTTTTCGTAATTATCTCTGACCTTTTCTCTGAGACCAGAATTCAGGGTAGACAGTTTAGATATTCACCTGACACTAATCAGGAAATACATAGTATTTATATTTAAAATATATTTAGTTGTATTTAGTGACTTCATTTCTAGTTCCTTGTTCATTAAAGTAGCTCATTTCTATTATTGCCTTTTTTGAGGATTGGAACAAATTGAAGGTTTGTGCAGTAGACACTTTGTTACTAAATCAGTACTTAAAATCCTAGAGCCTGTAGCCTTTGTTCATATGAATTAGACTGCTGCACACTCTAATTTTTGTGGGTTTTTCTAATTTGAGTGGAGTAAATTTTACCATAAAACATGATAATGATGTGAAATGTAATGGTATAATTACTATCCAACATGGCGGAACAGTTTATCCATGAGAATAATAGTTATTATTTATTGTTCTAAGAAAGGTAGAAAAGATGGAAATAGGAAACTTATTTGAAAAATGAAACATCTTCTATGTAAATATTCAGTGAATAAATTCTAACTTGCATTCCTTCTATTCCTACAAATACATTAAACATTGTTTATCTAATGGCTCTTTATTCTTTTGAGGTCTTTATTGGAAAGAGACATTTTTTACAACATCACAGCACAGTTTTAGTAATGTGATGGCATCTGGATAGTGGTGGGACAGCAAGTAGCTTTTGTTTCCTAACAGACACTCCAGTATGGGATGGTTTCAGCAGTGACTTAACTGGGGACCTGGTCTTTGATCTTGGGCTTCCTCACGTAAGTGTAGGCGTCTGTAGCTATTCAGAGATGATGCGTGCTATCCGTATGCCACACATACTCTATGAAGCAGGGTGAGATTAAGGAGGCCTCTTGCGTTGGGTCCCCAGTGAAAACCATCATTTGATATAAGTCTCAACTATCCTGCCCCAACCCAACTGAGGATAAAGTACATTAGCAACTAAGTCAAGCTCATTAATTTGATTTTCTTTGTCTTCTAGAGGGGAGGTAGTACTGGGGTTTGAATCCAGGGTTTCCTACATGCTGGTCAAGTGGTAATACCACTGAATTACATCACCAGCTTGAATAGTTTTTATGGTATGAAAACTATACTATAAAAATAGCAGAGCTTTGTAGTAAAGCAAGAGCATATTAAATGACAAGTTCATATTCTTTGATTCCCTTCTCAAGCCACAACTTTTTGTATGGCCCTCTAGCAGTTTATTTTAAAATGTTTTTGTTGCATACAGGCATGATCTTACATAATGTCCTTTGTCCCAAAAACTTTGCTTATTACAATGTTACTTTTGGTAGTGCTCCATATTTCTGAGTTATACAGTAGTGCGTCAGTTCACAATCTTAATTTGTTTCACAATTTTGGGGAAGAAGAAGGCTGTGTTCCTGTTCATGGGAAGATAGCCATGGTCATGTTCATCACTAGGTGTGGAATTCATGAACAGAAGCAAACTTTAGCCAGACTCTTCTGTTCATGAACTGAGTTCACGTGTTATATGTATGTATATATGTGTGTGTGTGTGTATATATATATACCTATATATATATTTTTTTTTGTTTGTTTGTTTGTTTTGTTTTAAATCAGTCTCACAGTGTAGCTCAGGTTGGTCTTGAACTCATGGTCTTCCTGCCACAGCCTCCTGAGTATGGACTACAGACATCTTACCATGTCAGCTATAGTCTGCTGTTTTAATTTCTTTTTTTTTTTAACTTCGTTTGCAGTACATAGTCATTACATTTATTGAGGGGAGTTGCTACAAGTACATAACATCTAAATTCCCGTACTCTCCCCTCCCTAAACCCCCCATCCCTAAATTGCCTTTCCATTTGCAAAAGATCTGTCTCCTTGTTTGTACTGCTGTTTTATGAGATTGACTTCCAGTTGTGGTTGCAGTGCACCCAGCATACACTTCTGCTTCCATGCATCCTTTCTATGCTGTTGGGGGGCCACTGAAGAAAGCAAGTGCTTCAGATTGAACCCAGAGCCTTGTGATTACTAAGCATATACCCTTAGTACTAACTATACTCTCATCCCCTATGCTTTAAATTTCTATAAATCATTAATCAGTGTTTATATTTTGACTATGCCCACTGTCTTTAATTTGTTCCTCTAAACCTCTGTTACCTTTGTCCTGCTTGTCTGCCTAGGAAAGCTGCATGAGTTACGTCAATAGGCTTCCCATTCATCTAGGTTCTGCTGGACTTGGAACGTAGGGATACCCAGCAAGAGAGAAGAGTGGTGCTTATTCCCTTGGCTCGCCCATTGCCAGGTGGGCCATGTGTTCCTCAGCCAAGTGGCTGGCACGAGGAAGTACACAGGGCGGTGAGTGCATGGAACAGTTCAGTCCTGAGCTCTCCCTCTTCATACCATTTTAAGTCTAGCAGTGGTAGCATCTTAACTAGTTACTGGCTTAACTACTTACTGGCATCTTAACTACTTACTTAACTACTTACTGGCTGTAGGAACCCGGATAAAATGTGGATGTAATACCGCATGCTGCACAGGTAGCAGGAGTGTGCTACAACTGAATATCTACAAGCATTGTTTTCTTGGAGTTACTGATTACATTGTCTAACTGGTGCACAGTTGGTTCCTCAGGACTTGACTTTGCCACTTCCTGTGTTGGTTCTTGGTTCCTGCATTCAACATTTACTTTTTATGTAGCACACCAGTCTTCTAATTCAGTGCTCATAGGTGATTGAGGATGAGTAATTTTGAAGTCTTTCCTGGACGACTCCAACTGAATGATGATCACTTTACTGAGAATTATAGGTCTCAAGGCCTTTCTAGTTTTAACATCCTGTCTCTAGGGCACTGGTTTTCAGTTTTGTAGTTGTGATACTAATAACATTTTTTTAAAGGGTAGAGGTAGCTAATACACAGTTGCCAACTTTTTCTAAGTTAGAATGTATGTATGTTGGGCTGGAGATTTAGCTCAGCGGCATAAGCGCCTGCCTTGCAAGCATGCAGTCGTGAGTTCAATCCCTGGTACCGATTAAAAAAAAAAAAAGAAGAATGTATGTATGTAAAACAGGGAGGGTCTCAGTAAGCTACTCAGGCTGTCCTTAAACTTGGAATTCTCTTGCTTCAGCCTCCTGAGTAGCTGAGAATACACACACATTGCACCATGCCAAGTTCTAGGGAAAGGGAAATATATAAAATTTAGGTTACTGTTATATATACATTTTAAATATGTATCAATAACATAACAACCTATTAGACCAGGCTTGGTGGTGCCTGCCTGTAACATCAGTAATTGGGAGGCTCAGACTAGAGGTTCACTGTAAGTTCAAGACCCTGTCTCAACCAAGGGGGAAAAATAGCTCTTTACGTTTATGAAGACTCTCGTATTCACTGTTTTGCCCATATGTATTTTTTCAGTTTTTATGACTGGTTGGAAAAAGCTATCGGGTGTCTTTAGACTGGGTTTGGTGGCTAAGGTCCTATACCATACAAGTGCTGTCTTGTCCCAAAATACCAGTCCTAATCTGCCAATCTACATACTGGAGTTGGCTACCTGCTGAGAGCTATCATTGGTTAAAACACCTTGTGCCTGGCACTGTGCAGGGGTATTTCAGGTGCATGAATGTGTCTGGTCATGAAAGTGAAATAGTGCAAAGCACAGGCTCGTAGAGATTAAATATATTAAGTGGCATGCTCAGGATGTCAAAGTCACCCTCAGACTCTACACAGAGGAGTCTTGCTCAGTTTCTAATACTCTAATGGCAACACTTGATTGGACAGAAATGGAAGAAAGTGAGTTTCAACTCAGTATTTGTGAAGTTTTTTTTTTTTTTTAAGTTCTAATTTTGTTCACCTTGCAGCATGACTTTTTAGCTTACCTACTTTTCAATAACTCATTTTGGCATTAGTAAATTTTAATTGCATTTCCTGTCAAGCTTTTGTGTGTCAGGTGCATTTGCTCAGGTAATTATTCAGGGATCCTCTGAAAGATTCTGGGGCTTGTCATATTTTTTTCTTCATTACTGAGCTGCCTTCTTAGGAAACACAGGTGAGTCAGCATTTTCTCTAAACGCCATGCACCAGAATGCTGATTTTGGCAGATTGACCGGACTGAGGATTTAACCACTGCTCTGAGGTCTCCAAAACCCATGGAGTTAAAAGCTCCAGGTTTACTCACAAAGAGGAACAGGAAGGAAGCTCTCTCATTGTTTCCTCCCTGGGATGTTACTAGCTTGTTCTATCTCAGACTTGTATTTATCATCACCATAACAGACCTTAAGGGAGAAGCAAAGACCTTGGGCACATTTATTATGAAGTAATAGCATGAATTAAGAGGAAAAACAATGTGGTCAGGACTGGATGTGTTAGCACACACCTGTATTTGAGAGGCTGAGGCAGGAGGATCTCCAGGAGCTCTAGGACAGCCAGAGGTACATAGTGAGCTCAAGGCTGGCCTGACCTACATACACAGTGAGACCCTGTCTATAAAAATACGTACATACATGTATACATACATTGGGAGAGACTTGGGTTTGAGTAGGTTTAAAGTGTTGGTGGGGAATGTTAGAAATTTCCATTTTTTCAAGTGAAGGGAAAGGTTAAAAATTGAAAAGACAGAAGCTGTAGATGAATTGGGAGGGGCCAGTGTGTGGTAGACCATTGACTAAATATCCAAATGAACTGGTCTGGACCTTAGGTTACACCTATTCCAATCCTGCCATTTGCACTGAGCAAAAAAGTTTAAAAGGAAACCCAAGCACTGGACTACAGCAAGAGTGGCATTCCCACAGGGCTGCCAGGTACAATTGTGCTAAGTGCATATTGCCCACTTTCAGAAGAGCCATTGACATTGAGCTGTGGAAATGATTCTCCTGGGCATGGACATTGTGCGCTCAAACAACCTTATGGGAGCACTGCTCCTGAGTGCAGTTCAGCAGTTGTGATTGACGAAATGTGATGTAACAGACTGATATAATAGATTATAGGTAATGAGATAATTAATAGTTTGTGCCAATTTGAATAAGGATTGTCCAACTAAATTGGATCAGCAGAGTTCTGGGTGTGGCTGAAGGGATTTACAGATGACAAGACCCACCCTGGGCAGGAATAAAAGGGAAACAAAGCTGCTTCTGTCTCTTAAGAGGAGCTCCAGTCTTCACCTTCACCTTGGATGTTGTCTCTTGGCTTCTGACACTCTTCAGCCTCCAATATAGACCTTTTGGTCTCCTGATGCACTGCACAGACATTACACTGAGTTCTAAGGCCTTCAACTTGATCCTGCAGATCTGCAACATACAGACAGACTTTTTACACTCTTCCCTACCTGGCTCTGTTGGCAGCCATTGTAAGCAAATCTTGGAAGTCCTGTTAAGTTTGTATATTTTGCATTGTCTGTTTCTCTAGTAAACACTGATACATGACATATGATTTCCTATTACTGCAAAGAAGTTACAACAAATTTAGGGGTTTAAAAGAACATAAATGAATATGTCACAGTTTTTATGTGGCAGATATCCTAGTATAGTGTAGCTGGCTTAGAATTTCACTGGGCCGGGAAGAGAATAAGAAGTCAGCAAGAGGCAAGTCCTCCCTGGGAATCAGCA